GGCATAATCGACCGGTGTGACTGAAAGTTATGCATTGTGTTAAAGATAAAACAGATTAATTAAAATTATAAATTTAAAAAAATTTCACTCACTTTCATCATAATAAAGTAATTTCATGGTTAAAATAAGCTTATCCGGCAGCCTCCCTAGGCTATTACCGGCCAAAAGAATGGTTCTTAACAGACCAAGCGTCTCTTTTTTAATACCTTCTGTGGTAATTGAAGAGGCATCGATATCGACTATTTTGCTATCACTATGATATATTATAACAAACTAACGAACGACATACGCTGAGTCTGCACTAAGGTTCATGGAAGCTCCGTGCTCGCTGTAACTAAATCTAAAAGCATACGATTCCACGACGTTCTTCCAATTTAAAAACTATATTTGTACCTGAGAGGAATTTGAGCAGACTACGAACAAAGCTTTTTTCAGCTAATATACGGCTAAAATTAAAAAATGACAAACTAACAAATTTGCGATCAAGAGCATCAAAACAGCCTCTCAACCAATAAACCACTTTTGACGAGCTTGGGCATTTAGAATCCTCTCTAAGAATTTTTAAACGAATACCTGAAATAAAACGTAAAGTAAGAGGTTTACCCTCAATCTGCTTGTCAGAAAATGCTCTTTCTGGAAAAATACTTCGGAAATACAACACATTTGAAATGGCGACAGCAAAGAGTTTTTTTATGAAAACCAAAGATAAAAGTTCAGTATCTAGTTTCTGGGGGAATAGTCTTGCCCACTACAGGATTAAGATAAGTTAAATATTACCGTCCCAGACTGGCTCTTAACGGATACAGGCATTACGAATACGTGTCAGAAAATGCAGTAGATGTTATCGCGAGGACAGTAGGGATAAACAATACAAAAATATAAATAAAATTAAAATTATATTAAAATTTTGAAAAAATTATTTTTAAATTTTTATTAAATAATAAGCTATATCAAACTAAATGACAAAATGTATATTAATTTTTAGCTATTAATTTGGTTTAAAATTTATTAATGGTTTTGTTGCTTTGAATTACTTGGTCTCAACGTGGCGCGCTTTTCTCTGCTATCCCTCATAGTACTATGCAGCTTAATTTTAGCTCTTTTGCCACGCTATTCCACTGTTTTTTGCCCTTATAACTCTTTATGATATAAGGTGAATATAGTTTTTCTCTTCTTTCACCCAAA